AGTGAGCTGAGATCAGACCGCTGCACTCCAGCCTGGGTGACAGAGCGAGACTCCATCTCAAAAAAAAAAAAAAAAAAGAAGAAGTAATCAGGATAGTGCTTTCCTCTGTGGATCAGGAGGCTATCATGGGAAGAAATGGTGGGGGCCCCAGGGAACCCAGTTCTCCTTCTTTGTGTAGGACATTTTTACAGTGCTGTGTTAACCTGCACATACGAACTTTATGCATTTTTTTCCTGCATTTTATATGTCACAATAAAACATGTTATAAAAACAAAAAATAACCAGTGAAATACAAGTAATTTACAAAGGCACACCTGAAAATAGGAGAGATGAGGCTAGGCACCGTGGCTCACGCCTATAACCCCAACACTTTGGGAGGTCAAGGCAAGAGGATTGGTTGAGCCCAGAAATCTGAGACCAGCCTGGGCAACATAGCAAGACCTTGTCTCTACAAAATATCATTTAAAACTTAGCCAGGCATGGTGGCGTGCACCTGTAGTCCCAGCTACTCAGGAGGGTTGACTGAGGCAGGAGGATTGCTTAGGCTCAGGAGTTTGAGGCTGTAGTTAGCTATGATTGCACCACTGCACTCCTGCCTGGGCAACATAGTAAGACTCTGTCTCTTAAAATAAAAGAGGGGGTGACACAGCTGCTTAGGGGACAGTTTCAGGGGTTAAATACCCCAGAAACAGAGTGACCATCCAGGGCGTCCTGTGTGAGAGGCAGCTCCAGGCAGCAGCCCTCCCCCTATCCCCACCCTCCTTTCTTCTTCCCTTCCCTCCCCTGAGCCCCCAGTATGGAAGCTCAAAGCTCAGAGTGGATTTATGGAGGCCAGGGTGGTGTGGTGAAAACAGCAGGAACCCACTCTCAGGGAACTATTAGCACCCCAATCACCAGGTGGATGGGTGAAATTGAGCTCCTTTCAGTTCAGTTATGAGCCCCAGGGACATTCATGGCTATTTACTGCTAGCATCTGTTCTGACTGGTTGATGCCTGTGCCATTCAGTTGTCAAAGATGTTTATGATCAGCCCTGCTAAGATGCATTAAAACAGATGTGTATTAGTCCATTCTCACACTGCTAAAAAGAACTACCTGAGACTGGGTGATTTATAAAGAAAAGAGGTTTAGGCCAGGTGTAGTGGCTCACACCTGTAATTCCAGCACTTTAGGGGGCCGACGCAGGCGGATCACCTGAGATCAGGAGTTCCAGACCAGCCTGACCAACATGGAGAAACCCCATCT